GGGTTTTTTTTTTTTTTTTTGGTACCAGAGATTGAACTCAGGACCTTGTGCTTGCAAGCAAGGCAAGCAGTGGAACCACTGAACTAAATCCCTGGCCCATTTTTATTATTTTAGGAATTATCCAATTATTATTCTCCTGGTTTTTCTTTTTAAAAGAATTTGGAAATGTAAGTTAATAAAATTAATTTTGTTCTGGTATATTTTGATAATGGTAAGACAAGCCTGAAATGCATGATTTCAGACATCCAGCATTGGGAGTGTTTCCCAGACTCAGTTGTTTGTATCATAGTGGCCAAATTGAGCTAAGGAAGCAATTATGTCCTTACATAGATTTTTCTCAACAACAATCTTGCTAAATCAAGACTTGACTTTTTTTTTAGCTAATTAAATGCAGTGAAAGAATGATATGAAAATTTATAAATGCCATGTAGGGTATGTGAAAATTTCTTTGTTTTGCTAATTAAAATTGACTGTCAGTCTTACTGGAACTGCTGGGGAATTTATTGTCTGAAATCTTGGAAGAGATAGGACTTCTTATATAGAACATTTTTATTTCCAAATCTATTCTTAAAGTCTAAGTCTTTTCAAATTCCAAAGAAATCCAGTAGCTGTGTTAGTATCACAAATGTCAAATTGGGCCATTTAAAAAGTTTCATTACTGTACTGTGTATTTCAGTTAGAACGTATAACTCCATTTAGGTACTGTCTCTGCACTGACAGGGTTTGGCTCTTTCCTCTAGGACTGGGAAAGTAGCTCAGTGGCTCAGTTCCTTCCTAGCAAGCGCAAAGTCCTGAGTTTAATCCCCATTGGGGGTGGTGGGGGCAGACAGATGAACACTTAAGTAGGTCTCTGATGGTTTGAAATCTTTAGTGAGCCTTAAAAGCCTAAAGCCTGTGTGAACCAGAAATCACAGCTGTTGGACCTTGAACCTAATCACAATTCCTTTATCACATATTGTCCTTTTGTTATTGGCCCACAAGATTTGATACGAGTAAAATGTCTTCCCAGTGGCATCATCTCATAAAAACCATTTTGAGATCTGATGATGAATGTTTTCTGATTTTTATCTCTACTTCCTGGGAAATTTCACTTCGCTGTTGAAATGTTAATATAGTTGCCTAGAAGATGTTATTCTTTGATTGTTTTCTTTGTTGTTCAGCTTGTGGGAACCCCATATTACATGTCTCCAGAGCTCTGCCAAGGAGTAAAATACAATTTCAAATCTGATATCTGGGCAGTAGGCTGTGTCATTTTTGAACTGCTTACGCTAAAGAGAACATTTGATGCTACCGTAAGTTGATGTGTTATCCCCATATTGTCTTGTAAAATGATAAGGGTTGGTGAAGTGAATCGACTTCACTTATCCCTCACCTTCTTGTTTCTTGAACAGAAATCAGCTGTAGTCAAAAATAACCGAGCCAGGGATTTAGCTCAGTGGTGCTGCTGCCTGCCTCACAAGCACAAGGCCCTGAGATCAATCTCAGGTACCAAAAAAAGAAAAATAACCTATAGTTAGGCACTGAATTAGTAGTGAATCATTAAAATGTTATAGACAAAAAAAAAAGACCAGATTCATCGCTTAGTGGAATTCCCCATTGAAATCACCATAATCAAACTGTGAGCACTGTTCTTTAATTTGTTGACTGTAATTTCAAAATTGGCTCTAGGGTCAACTGTGTGATGTTGCAATTTGGAAAAGCCATTGCATTTCTTAAGCTTCAGCTACATCTTTTTTTTTTGCTTTGTTTTGGTACCAGGGATCAAATTTGGGACCTTGTGCTTACAAGGTAGGCGGCGGCACCACTGAGCTAAATACCTGGCCCACATTTTTTTTTTTTTAAAGCTGAGACAAATTATATACTCATTAAAATGTTTGATCTTTTTTAAATAAAAAATCAGTCACACACTTGACTTTTACTAGAGATTGTTACCATTTTATGGGCAAACAAATCCCTTAAAGTCTCTTTTGCACTAGATCTTAGCCAAAAGGCCAAGAAGCAATCCTTAAAGTATTTTTTTTTTTACTGTATGTATATCTGTAGGGTGACTGATTTAAAGCATTGCTTCTCAAATTCAAATATGTGTGTTTTATTGGTGGTATAGTGGTAAGCATAGCTGCCTTCCAAATAGGCATGCTTGTACAGAAATCACCTGGGCATCTTTTTTAAATGCAGATTCTGTTTCAGAGGTGGGTGGGGCAGTGCCAGTCCAGTAGTCCGCATTTCTAACAAACTCTCAGACACGCTGGTACTGCTGCTTCTAGGGCCACAGTTTGAGTAGTTTAGGGGACCCATGTCCACTATCCTTCAGCCAGTGAGAGAATTTATTCACATTTCTTTGATCCTCTATTACATTACCTCTAACATGGAAGTAATATATATCTCCCGAACAATAGTGGATCTCCCTCACAGAGATGTTCTGATATTGTATATTAAAAATGCTAGTGTAAAACAGTACAAACTCCTTAACCTTTCATGAGACCTATTTATTTTTCTAAATTCTGAAATTTGTTCTACTATATCATCTAATTCTCCTAAATAATTTAGTAGAAGAAAATTGACTGTTGGAATCAGACTTTGGCTGGAATAATGGCTTGATTTTTACTGTATGTGTGATATTGACAACGTTATTTTACATATCTGGGCCCCAGGTTTCTCTGTACAGACTAACAGTAATAACATCTTTGTATTGTACAGATGAAAAAGATCATCTGTCTATTTTGTAGTGGTTTCTTAATAAGGTGATGGTAGTAATAGTAGTAGTACATTATCCAATTATTATAAGATGTTGTCTGTTGTATTATTTACTGTATTGCCTATTTAGCACTTACTAGGATAGGAGAGAGCAAATTAATTAGCAAAGGAGTTATTTGGAGCCAAGAAGCCTAACTAACCATGCTTTTTTCCTTTTTTCTTAATTCATTTGAAAGATCAGATTATAATATATCCTGAGCAATCTATTATTGGTCACATAGTGGTAGTTTTTATATCCATGTTGGCCAGTGAGCCTAATTCTATCTGATATTTCTTGCTGATGCATACTAATAGTAATAATATTACACCAGACCTAGTGCAGAACTATTGCTAGTTGTTTAAATAATGGTCACTGACATCTCTGAGCCCTAGTTGGTAGATTATGTTATCTTTATATAACCACGAACAGTGCAGTCATCATTTTCTCATAGAATCCACTCAACCTGTGTGTGAAGATCGTGCAAGGAATCCGGGCCATGGAAGTTGATTCTAGCCAGTACTCTTTGGAGTTGATCCAGATGGTCCATGAGTGCCTCGACCAGGTAGGTATGGCTGTACTGATTTCAGTTTCATGTTTTTCCCTTCCATCCTCCTTCTTTGGGATAAACCACACAGAATCACATCTCCCTCCCCAGGGTAGAATGTATTTGTGGCTTTATCCAGAACAGGCATTGAAAATTTATAGTAGTTTTGTGCTTCAGCAAACTCTTTATTCTGTACTGTAAATATTTATGAAATGGTTTTGCCATCTAAATTGTGTTCCTTTTTTATGCTTACAATTAATTTCTATAAATTGGTGTTATAAAACTGCAGTCAAGAGATAAAGTTCCTAGTGTGCAAAATGTATTTAATCCTTCTGACAGTTCTCTTACTGTGTATAGAGTTCTAGTATTATTCAAAGTATGATCCAAGAACCATTGGCATCAAAATCACCAGGAAGTAAGAGTTTTATAAGTAAAAAAGATTCCTTTAACCCAGAACAACACAATCTGTGGATAAAGCCCTGAAATTTTCATTTGTATTGAGGTTTGAGAGGCACTGCCCTCACTGTACAAGTAAGGAAGGTACATTGTAAATGTCCTCATTCTTATACAGCGTTGATGATAATGAAAGAGCGTAGGCATTAAATATGGAAATAGGACTTACAGAATTTTTGAAACAAAAGGATAATATACAGTGGTCTTTGACTAATTAGCCTACATCTTTCTAAGAGGAAGTATAATTCTTTATTAGAGCTTATAATGCTCATTTCCTTTAAGTGAAAACTAACCCATTTTTATTTTTTAGAATCCTGAGCAGAGACCCACTGCAGATGAACTTTTAGATCGGCCCCTTCTCAGGAAACGCAGGAGGTAAAGTATACAGGTCACTTCATTGTCTTTCTAGAGATGGATGACTGTTAGAGGCCTGATGAGAGTATAATAAGAAAGAGTGGTATAGCCCTGGCGTCGTGGTGCACACCTGTAATCCCAGCACTTGGAAGGCTGAGGCAGGAGGATCATGGCATGTTCAGGGCCAGCCTGGACTACATAGTGAAATCCTATCTCCCCCTCCAAAGAAAAAAGACAGTGCTTCCTAAGTTAGCCACTTGTTTTCTTCAACACCTCATGTTGCTTGAGGGGAGGTCTTGACTTTCACCTCCTTAGCTGTTTTGCTCTAAATTTATATTGATGAGACCCAAGAGCCCTCCACATTCCCAAATCTGTGGGGTGTTTGTTGTAGAGTTGGTGCACTGATACCTTTAGATTTGAACCTAAGTTCTGTTATCTTCGTCAAGTTATTTAGCATCTCTGTTTCTTTGTTTTCTCCCCTATAAAGTAAGATACAGTGAAGAATAAAGAATTAATACATATTAAGTGCTCAGCGTAGATCCTGGCAGAAAGTGACTGACAATTGTTGGATAGTAGTATGAATTCAGACTGGGAATTTGGTTTTGAGTATGTTTGGGGTTTTTTGTTTTGTTTTGTTTTGGGGTTTGCCGGGGGTGGTGGTTGAGACAATATCTCACTATGTGTTCCAGGTTGGATTCGAACTCACTATGATCCTCCTGCCTCAGCCTTCTCAGTGCTGGGATTATAGGTGTGCACCATTATACCCAGCTGGACTTAATGTCACTTAATATAATGTTCTCCAGTACCATCCATGATAGTGCAGATGACAAAATCTCTTTTTTGATGGTTTATATTGTCTGATGTGTATATTCTACAGTTTCTTTATCCGGTCATCCTTCAGTAGATATCTAGATTGAGTCTATATCTGGACTGTTGTCAGTAGTGCTGCAGTAAATGTTCAAGTGTAGATCTCTTTGACATACTGGTTTGAATGCCTTTGTATGTGTCTCCTGTAAAAGTATTGCTGGATCATATGGTAGTTCTGCTTTTAGTTTTTTGAGGAACCTCCATATTCTTTCCCGTGATGGTTGAACTAATTTACATTCCCACCAGAAGTGTACGAGAACTTCCCCTTCCTCCATATCCTTGCAGTATTTGTTACTTTTTTATAATAGCTATTCTAACGTGGGTAAGATGACACTTCATTGTGGTTTTGATTTGTGTTTCCCTGATGTTTAGCATTTTTTCATATACTTTTTGGTCATTTTTATATCCTTTTTGGATAATTGTCCATTCAGATCATTCACACATATTTTTAAATCAAGTTTTCACTATTAGTTGTTTGAGCTTATATGTTGTAGAAATTAGTTCCTTATCTGATGAATAGTTTGCCAGTATTTTTTCCTGTTCCATAGGTCATCTCTTCACTCTGTTGATTGATTCACTCTTTTACTATAGAGAAGTTTTTAGTGTGATATAATTCCATTTGTCAGTTTTTGCTTTTGTTGCCTAAGCTTTTTTTTTCCCCTCCAGTACCAGGGATTGAACTCAGGACCTTGTGCTTGCAAGGCAGGCACAGTGCCACTGAGCTAAATTCCCAGCCATGTTGCCTAAGCTTTTGGGGTCATATTCAAAAAAATATTTGCCTAGACCCATTTCCTGAAGTGTTTCCTCTGTATTTTCTTCTAGTAGTCATAGTTTTGAGTCTTATTAAAGACGTTTCTGGTTTCTAGTTGGTCTCTAGCCAGTGTTTCATATCTAGAATTGTATGTAATACTCTTTAAGTACAGTACTGCAACTTTCCAGTTATGTTCTGTATATAGTCAGAAAAAATTTCCCTTTGACTCTGATTAAATATGTTTAAAATCTTTATCTGGCTTATTTCCAAACAGTATAATCACTGTTTTAATCCCATAATGAAATATTCCAATCAGTTTGTTTTGTTTCATAATGATACTGAAGATTGAATCCAGGAAGCACTGAGCTAGATCATTTGCTGGGGGTGGTACTGGGGATCGAACTCAGGACCTTCCACTTGCAAGGCAGGCAGCAGATCCACTGAGCTAAATCCCTGCCTCCCCCGCCCCCCGTTTTGAGACTAGGTCTCACCTTATAATTTGGGCTGAATTTAATTTTTTTTTACTAAAATAATTATAGCTTTGCATGCCATACTTTGTTGGAATTTAGACTTTAATAGAAAAGCATACTTTAGAATTTTTTAAAATATAGAAAATGGCATAAGCAAAGGAACATGTACAAGTGGTTTTGTAGAAAATATTCAGGAAACACAAAATCCTATTTGGTTAGGTTAGTAGGCTCTCTGCAAAATCTTGGGAGCACTCAAAAATTACTGATGCCTAAGCACTGCCCTAATAGTTCAGCTGTAATAGATTTAGGTGGAATGAGAGTCCTGAGCCAGAACATGGAGCATTAAAAAGGGAAGGGAGGCTGAGGAGACAGTAGAGAACCTTGAATGTTAAGCTTAGTACAAATGTAGTATAGAGGACTGGGGATTTAGCTTAGTGGTTCCGCCTTGAAAACACAAAGACCCGAGTTTGATCCCCAGTACCAAAAATAAGTAGTATAGAAATAGGCATTTTACCTTTGATTTCTGGGTCTCTACATTGTTGCTTTGACTCAGAATCACCACAGATGTTTGGGCACATTCTGCTAGGGAGCATATGAGTCCGTGGTGAGCAAGTGACCTGGGTAAGCAGTCCCTCAACATTGTTGATCCAGGATTCCTGAGGCTAAGTATGAAGCGGAATGCCACAGCTCCTTTCTGTGGTATTTGTGGGAGTCCGCAGTGCTACCTGACAATCAAGACCTTTGCAGGCCTTCCTTACTCATTTAATTAGTTTTTTTGTTTTGCTTTGTTTTTGTTTTTGTTTTATACCGGGGTTTGAACTCAGGTCTTTCTGCTTCTGAGGCAGGTGGCAGAACCACTGAGCTGAATCCCTGGCCCCTCATTTAATTAGTTTGATGAGGATCCTAAAGCATAATAGTTTTACTTGTCAAAATTTGGGGATAGGGCCAGGGATTTAGCTCAGTGGTTTTGCCGCCTGCCTTGCAAGAACAAGGACCCGCGTTCAATCCCTGGTACAAAAAAAAAATGGGGATTAAAAAAGAGTTTAGAAGGTAGAAAAAGCAACTACATACCAACAACAAACATTCTAACAAGATTTTTTTAAAAAGTGATACAGAAGTATTGGATATTTGAGAGAGGACAGTTCTTATAATGAGAAGCATGCCTAAGAGTCATTTAGTAGTGTTGGGGTCAGTATTAGTATACAATTGGTAAAAGTGTGTTAGGGCTATAGTAAGAGTTAGGTTGATGCTACCATAGTATAGGTGAGGAGTGAAGCTGCCCAGAACTAAGGTAGTGAGACAGGACACAAAAGTTGAGAAAAGATGCCATATAGATAAAATCTCTAGAATTTAAATATTGAAAAGGAGATAGATGCGTCAGAGATGACTGGAGATGACTGGAGTTGATTGGGAGAATGTGTTGCCAGTTATAGAAATAGGGAGTCAGAAAGAAAAGCTGATTTAGGAAAAAGCTAATAATCCCAGGCTTAGAGATGTTGCATTTGGGGAGTCAGTGGGCAAACTGGAGGGAGATACCCATCATGTGCATCAGAGATTCTCAAGAATCTCTGCTCAAGCCTAGATTGTCTCTCAGAGATAGAAAACAAAAGACCCCGAACTCCTGACTTTCTAGTATTTAAGGAATCATCTGGTGCCAGGTCTGTATAACCATTTGAGTTGTTACCAAAGTACTTTCTTAAAACTATTGTCATGTTGGAGTGTTAGCATTATGTATGCCTAAAATGTACCAATAAATGTTTTGCTATTTTAAAAAAAGCATTGTCATGTTGAAGGGTGTATTTGGTTAATAAGAGAATTAAATCTGTGATGTGTATTTAGACACTGTTGTGATATAGGAACATGTGATTTTATTCATGTATATTCATGTATCTTTTGCCAGAGAGATGGAGGAAAAAGTCACTCTGCTTAACGCACCTACAAAGAGACCAAGGTAATGCTCAAGAGACTCTTGAAAATGAATACTGAATATCCTAAATTTCCCCCAAGGGGCTCTTATTTGTGTCTGTACATTATTTGTTCCTAGTAGCCTTTGGTATCCTTTCAGGAGCCAATATCTGCTTAAATGTCAGATAGTCATTTTTTAAAACATAAGTGCTATAAAGATGAATGTTGAAAAGTGTAGGTGTTATGGATCAGTCTGGGTTGGCTGAGCTGTGATGAAGCCCTGAGGCTTTGCAAAGCCTGCTATGAGAGAGGGTTGAAAGAACATATTTTCTCATACCATAATTGCCAGTTCTTCTGAGGGGACAGACTGGAAACAGTCTTCTTTGATATTATTTTTATGTTCAGTGTGCCTTTGTTCTGGGGGTTGCTGGCAGGTCAAGCACCGTGACTGAAGCACCCATTGCTGTGGTAACATCACGAACCAGTGAAGTCTATGTTTGGGGTGGTGGGAAATCCACCCCCCAGAAACTGGATGTCATCAAGAGTGGCTGTAGTGCTCGTCAGGTGTGCGCAGGGATTACCCACTTTGCTGTGGTCACAGTGGAGAAGGAACTGTACACTTGGGTGGTAAGTGAGAGCTAAGGACTTTGGAATGGTGTTATAAGCCTCATTGCTTACTGGGTCCAGGGTGTCTGAGCCTTTTGTTAGTTGAACACATACTGCATGACCACAGCATGGGTGATGGAACGTAAGCTCCTGTGAGAGCAGAGATTTTGTCTCTTCAGTGATCTCCTATGCCTGCTACATACTAGGACATCTATAAATGTGTTCCAAATGAATGCGAGAGACAGGGGGAATTAAAAGAGCTCTAGCAGAGACAGCTCTTCCATTTACAGCTGGATAAGTTCAGACAAGTCACTTATTCTGTGTTATTGTGAAGTTCTAAGCAGCTAGTATCGGTGAAGGAGCTTTGTAACAGTGAAACACTCTACCATGTCAGGAACCCTTCGACCCTCACCAGTGATTGAAGATAGCTAGGTATATCTTGCGTAGAATTTGCTTTTGTTCCCCTCTATATTCTGCTTTCTCATTTTTGTAACGCATTTTGTTTATTGTCTATTTTCTCATCTGTCATTGTCTTATTCACCTATACCTACATTCACCTACAGTGCTGCTTCCATCTGTGCCACCCGCTTGAAACAAGTCTTAATGAAATGACTTGTAAATTGCTAAAATAAAACAAATGATTTTTAGACCTTATGTAGCTTGACATTCTCTTTGAAGCTTTGCCTTTACTTGGCTTCCATGATAGCATGTTCTTGTAGCTTTCCCCTGTTTCTTTGAATGTGCCTTCTCAGGCTCATGACAGGCTGCTTTTCCTTTACTTCACCTTAGGCTTCTTAGGCTCTTGGTGCCTCTGCCTGGGGAAGCTTGTTATTCTCTGTGGTTTCAGATAGCTCCATGAAGACAAAGACTGTGTTAATCTTATTCACTGCTTTACCCCCAGTAGATGAGAATAGACACTTACCTCTGATTGATTGAAAGAATGATTTTTCCTGTGTTATACAGTGTTGACTTGCTATTATGGAATAACTCTGGGGTACTCCCAGAAGTACTCCCAATCAGTGCTTTGAACACATTTATATAAGGATTTATAATTGAGTCATTGAATAGAAATACCTGTGAAAACTGTTGAAAAATCATGAGGACTGTTCTCAGAGCTGTATAGGAGCCTCTTTGATGTAGCCAGATTCTTTTTTTTTTTTTTTTTTTTTTTTTAACGGGGGATTGAACTCAGGACCTTGTGCTTGAAAGGCAGGAGGCAGAACCTAGCAAGATTCTTTATGACTGTTCTCAGTTTCAGGTAAAATGTGATCTTCTAGTACAGATACTAGATTTCTGAAGATAAAATATTTTCTACCTCCATAAAAAATGTCAAATTAGGTTCTTTAATGAATTTTTCATTACCATTACATCACCCATAAATGTAGTTCACCTTAGACTTAAAGAACAAACACAGAATTGGGATTTTGTCCTCTTAAGGCCTGTTGGGCATGAATCTGGATATTTAAAAAATTTTTTATCTCAACATGGGTTTATGCTGTCTACCATTAAAGGAATTACATAATCCATTTACTCATGTTTTTCTTTCATTTTCCAGCTTTTAAAATTATTTTTCTTACTGAGTTATATTAAAGATTAGCTTTTACTATGAAAAGTTAAAGCTTCAAAAGACTTCTTTACTTCACAGAACATGCAAGGGGGTACTAAACTACACGGTCAACTGGGCCATGGAGACAAAGCTTCCTATCGACAGCCAAAGCATGTGGAAAAGTTGCAGGGCAAAGCCATCCGTCAAGTGTCGTGCGGTGAAGATTTCACAGTCTGTGTAACAGGTAAGTGATTAGCAGAACGCATCTGAGTGCATTTAACCAGCATTGTGCTTAATGCTCTGCAGTTTTAGTTGGGTTATATAACAAAAGACAATATCCAAAGAACCAAAAGATACTGAGCAGGTGTAGTCATTCATTAATGTTGTTATGACATTCCCAATTTGGTATAGTATTAGGAAGTCTGAGTGATAAATAAGGAGAAGGCATGTAGATAACAGAGGAGTTGGGGATTTTTTTTTTTTTTTTTGTTTTTTTTTTTTTTTTTTTTTTTTTTTTTGGTACCAGGGATCGAACTCGGTCCTTGTGCTTGTGAGGCAGGCAGCAGAACCACTGAGCTAAACCCCCAGCTACTACCACTTTTTAAACTGTTTACTACAATAATATTACACATAAGTCCTTAGAGTACAGATAGCACTAGACTTGAGCAGTCTATTCTGATTTCTCTGATGTCATCATCTCATGTAAGATCACTGGCTGAAGTAGTGCTTATTCTAGCCCTGCTCGACAAAATAAGTCATTTCTCTGATGGGTTGCTTTTCTTCCTTTTGCAGATGAGGGTCAGCTCTATGCCTTTGGATCAGACTATTACGGTTGCATAGGGATAGATAAGATTGCTGGCTCTGAAGTGCTAGAGCCCATGCAGCTGAACTTCTTCCTCAGCAATCCAGTGGAGCAGGTCTCCTGTGGGGATAATCATGTGGTGGTCCTGACACGAAACAAAGAAGTCTATTCATGGGGCTGTGGCGAACATGGTATGTGCAGCCTTGTGTCTCTAACCTTACTAGATGCACAGCCTTTGTGCATTTAAACATGACACAGACTTTGTTAAAAAAGTGTTAATTCAGTAAAAGAGAATCTTATAGAACACCTTTAGGAAGTAGGTCCTCATTATTATAACTTTCCTTATTTTGTGTGTTTCAGGACGACTGGGTTTGGATTCAGAAGAGGATTATTATACACCACAAAGGGTAAAATCAGAAGCAGCTTTTTCTTAATGCCTATATAAGTCACACAGCCTCCAAAAATACGCCCTCTTTCCCTGAGTCCTATCAGGGTGTTTATTTCTGAAATATTTCCTGTCTTGGAGGCTAATAATCTAGGATTCCTGATTTAGCACTATGTGATCTTGTCATCTGACTGAATCATAGAAAGTTGAGACAGTGCATACAGCTTCTGTGGACACTGGAGTCACATCTTACCCGGGGATGAGAGCTAAAATTATGAAATGCAATGGGAAAGTCACATATAGCTGACTATTCCCTGAAAAAGTTCTTGAGAAAGTATTGGAAAGCAATGTACTATCTCTTGACCCAACACAGCCATTTTCCGCTCCTATTTCTACAACTAGACACCAGCTGAAGTTTTTGTTTGGGGGTCCTGTGGTGTGAAGTACAGTATCTGATACCCCTCAGAACTGCCAGAGCTGGCACTGTGAGAGACAGGAACTGGAACCAGCTGAGGGAGAAGCCCCAGTCTCTTCTATCCACCCAGGTCTCAAGCTCCCCACCCTGCGGGGAAGGGGTAACTACAATTGACTATGCTAGTTACTGTTATCAGTTTTTATTTACATCTGAGAAACAAATTATGTGTCTGTGGGGACCATCCTCTATGGATTCACTGCTGTTTTTTTTGGTACCAGGGATCAAACTCAAGACCATATGCTTGCAAGGCAGGCAGTAGAACCACTGAGCTAAATCCATGGCCTGATCCTTCCTTTCTGTTATAACACCTGATCTCCTGGATGAAGACAGTAGACCCTGCTGGGATGGTAGTACACCCTGGGAGGCTGAGGCAGGAGGATCCCAAGTTTGAGACCAGCCTAGGCAACTAGTGATTTAGCAAGACTTGGGTCTCAAAAATTAAAAAGGGGCTGGGGATATAGCCTAGTGCAAAGGCCTTTGGGTTCAATCCTCAGTACCAAAAACAAACAAAACTAGCTCCTCAGCTTTCAGGTAGATCTGAAGAGAGCAGAAGCAACCCTTACTGCCCTGTAGTCATTTTAGTGAATACACCCTATCACTTTGGAAAGGATTTGAGGTGGTTCTTTTGTCTTTTTTCCTAATATAAATTATACATTTGTGTTTCTGTTTTCTAATTTATTTTTTCCTTGCAGGTGGATGTTCCCAAGGCTTTGATTATTGTTGCAGTTCAGTGTGGCTCTGATGGGACCTTTCTGCTGACCCAGTCAGGCAAAGTGTTGGCCTGTGGACTCAATGAGTTCAACAAACTGGGTCTGAATCAGTGCATGTCTGGAATTATCAACCATGAAGTGAGTACCCCTGTGGTGTCCTAACCACACTATCAGAACTTTTCTAGGTTGGAATTTCTCTGGGATTATTGGTTAGTGACCATGGAATGGGACAATCTCTCAGATATTCAGCAAAAGAAGCCAGCCATAAAAGAGTACATACTGTATGATTACAATTACATGAAGTTCAAGAAGAGGAAAAAGCCAGACGTGGTGATGCACACCTGTATTCCCAGCACTTGGGAGGCTGAGGCAGGAGGATCACTGTGAGTTTGAGGCCAGCCTGGGCTATAGAGTGAGTTCCAGGCCAGCCTTGAACTGCATAGCGAGACCTTGTCTCAAAAAACAAGAAAAGAGGACTGGAGATTTAGCTCAGTGTTTCCGGTGCCTGCCTCACAAGCACAAGGACCCGATATCGATCCCCAGTACCAAAAAAAAAAAAAAAAAAGAAAAAAGAAAAGAGGCAAAAATAACTTAATGATGATGGCAGAAATCAAAAATAATGATCAGTTCTGGGAGCAGGGGTCCAAATATTAACAGAAGAGGTAAAAGGGATCCTCCAGTGATGGAAATGGCCTTTATCTTGATCTAGGTTGTGGTTTTATGAGTAGATATGTACAGAAGAATGTATCAAGCTGTGTGCTGTTTTGCAATATGTTAGTTATACCTCAATAAATAAACTGATTATAAAGAGTAAAATGTTAGCTGGGTATGGTGACATACACCTATAGTCCCATCACTTTGAGGGCTGAGGCAGAAGGGTCACAGTAAGTAACCCCAACCTGGGCTTACTAAAAGCCTTAGTAAAACCCTGACTCAAAAAGTAGAAGAAATGGAAATGTACCTCAGTGCAAAGGCCCTGGATTCAATCTTCCATACCACCATAAATAAATAAATACATCGATACATATACAAATAGAATGGAATGATAGAATCCAGGTTTTTATTTTTGAAAGAAAAACAAGAAAACATGAAAAAGAAACATTTCCATGAATGACCTCCTTGAGGAGTTGTTTAGATTTATTGATTCCCCTATGGGCTTATTAAATATGATTACCACTTTCTGCCCCTTCAAGGATATCATAAAATTTGCCACTGAAAGTAAGGCTTACTGTGGGGTTCCATTGTGTAATGGTCAGCACTCTGGACTTTGAAAGCAAGACTTACCTTCCTCTTTATTAGAATAATGAGGTTTTGTCATTTCTAAAAATCAAGTTAAGAGACAGTAGTTTCCTAACTTGATTAAAAAAAAAGTAAGATTTTCTTATTTTTCTTCTTCTTTCTTCTTTCTTCTTCCTCTTGCTCTATTTTTGAGTTTGAGACCAGGTCTCACTAAGTCACTAAATTGCCCAGTCTATAGTTTGAAATGAATATTCTGAATTACCACTGCTTGATTTTGTGGTTTCTTAAAACATTGGACTTGTTGTGAAATCTTAAACTTATATGAGAAGATTTTTTTTTTATACTAATTCGAATGGAATGTGGGTTTTAAAAAGTTGTGAAACACTGTCCTGTTGGGGAAATTAGATCATAGTAAGTTCTTTGTAGACAGAATAAACTTCAGGATTTTAATCCTTTACCTCTGCAATGGAGAGTTCATATGTTTACATTACATTCCAAATACATATCAAATTTTGTTTTCAGAAAGTTCTGCCTCATATGCCTTTTCTTCTTGTATTCTAGTATTTTTTTTTTTCCCCTAGTACTGGGGATTTGAACTCAGGACTTTGCACTGGCAAGACAGGTGTGTCATCACTGAGCTAAATCCCTGGCATTATATCCTGTTGTAGAAAACTACACAGATCCCTCTTCTTAGTAACACAATTTCTTTGAAAGGCACCATGACCCTTTTCCTGATTATCGCTTCATTTTTTTCCTTCATAAGACTGCTTTGCATTTCACTTGTTTCAGGCATACCATGAAGTTCCATACACAACCTCTTTTACCTTGGCCAAACAATTGTCCTTTTATAAAATCCGTATCATTGCCCCAGGCAAGACTCACACAGCTGCTATTGATGGTAAGTTGATTTCTAGCTGTATTACATATCTGTGGAGGTCAGGTTCTTTTTATTCCATCATATGTTAGCTTTTCTTAACAATGCATGCATTTGCCTGATTTCCCCCTAACATTCAGTGTTATATAACTCTTTAATGATTAGGGCATTCGAGAATACAATTTTTACTGATAATTAGCATAAATGCATGATAAATATATTCCTTAATGAGAACACCACACCTATAACATGTGGCTTCTATTGTCTGTAATCAACACTATCTATAAGTATTCAAAGTTAGGTACTACCCATTTACCATGTTAAAAATGCAGTACTAGAGAGAAAATACACTATTGAGTTGCCTACTCCCTTGTCATAGTACCTAGATACCGAGTCCAGGATCATGTGGCTAGCTTCACATTTGTATGTTCTAGCAGGCAAAAGTTAGTGCATGGAGCTCTACATTGGCTGTACCTGCTTGTTCCATGACCCATTTGTGCTTGATTGTTTTATTTTTGCTTCTCTCTCAGAGCGAGGCCGGCTGCTGACTTTTGGCTGCAATAAGTGTGGGCAGCTGGGTGTTGGGAATTACAAGAAGCGCCTGGGAATCAACCTGTTGGGAGGACCCCTCGGTGGGAAGCAAGTGATCAGGGTCTCCTGTGGTGATGAGTTCACCATTGCTGCCACTGATGGTGAGTCCGTACATGTCATTTCAGGCTTTCTGGATAGATGGCTGTGTTGTAGTTCTTTCTTTCTTTTTGAGACAGGGTCTCACTATATAGTTGAGACTGACCTGGAACTCACTATGTAGCCCAGGCTGGTCTCAAACTCACAGCGATCCTCCTGCCTCAGCCTCCCGAGTGCTGGGATTACAGGCCTGCGCCACCACACCCAGCCCCTTGTAGTTTTCATTGGGAAAGAGATGGAGTCATTTTTGTATAGCTGGGATTGCCTTTATGTATATTAGGCTACATTAACTTTTCATGTGTCTATTATGGTGGCTTTTTCTAGATATTGACAAGTTAATATTCTAAATTCTTCCTCCTTTAATTTTAACTTTTTGGTAAAATGTTTCAGAATTATTAAACATTTCTGTTGGAGTTTTTTGGTTTTGCTTTTTGGTTTTTGGATTTTTTTGGTACTGAGGATTGAACTCAGGACCTTGTGCTTGCAAGACAAGTGCGGTTGCCACTGAACTAAATCCCCCGCGCTTCTGTTGTATCTTGCCCAGCACCATGTTGGCTTCAGTAAATGTGCTGTAGAGAATAATATAGGCAGTTCTTTAAGGTGCAGTGATAGAAGCCTCCAACTTCTCCCAGGCCAGTCCTGCCTCCAGAGTGAGGGGACACATTTCCTTAAATCCCCCTGGACCCTGCCAGCTTTTATATCACCACCCTACCTTCAGAATTTGTTCAACAGACCCTCAACCTGCATGTGTAAAGATAGAATGGCCAGGTAGCCTAGTTAACTTGTGTGAGTCCTCACACATAGCTGTTGTCCTAACATAATCATTAATACCTCCCCCTTTCATTTAAAAAAAAAAATGACCTTTGGATAAGGATCAAAATTCTGGATTTATCATCTCAGACAAACCTCGTATATTCTGATATTCTGCCAAGACCTGTACTTCTGCAGTTTTCCTATCTCAGTAAATAATAGGTCCACCCTACACCATGCATTCCATCCATCAGCACATCCCATGGGCCATCTTCAGAATATATCCAGCTTCTGTTTAACACCACTGCTGCAGCTGATCTCCATCCTTCCACTCTTGCTCCCATGTAGTTGGCTCTGCTCATCATAGCCTCAGGGATCCTTTTGGGTCCGTTCTGCTCAGAACATCTAATGGTTTTCTACACCAGTTGGGATAAACCAAAGTCAACACAACGGCCTGCGTGGCCCACGTGACCAAGACTCCACCCATTTCCTGATGTCTTCTGTAACCACTGCTCCCTCCCTATCTATATTCTCCACTTGCAGGGGCCTCCCTACTCTGTTTGTGCTATTGGCATTACCTATGCAATTGAGCTCACTGCTCTCTTGCCATTCCCTCACCTTCAATCAGATCTCTGCTCAAGTTAAAAAAGTACTTTCTGACCACTCAAAAGTAATGAAGCTCCATCCCACTATTATTTACTTTGCTTTTCATCACTGTTTATCTTTCTTCACAACACTTACCACTATCTGAAATACTAGATATTTATGTATTATCAGTCTCCCCTACAGAATGATGGCTATACAGGAGCCAAAACTTTATTGCTCAGTCACCCTAATGCCTGGCCTGAAATAGATGCTCAAAAAAATAAAGGTTTGAATGAATAACCATTAAAAAGTTGTTGAATGAGGGCTGGGGATTCAGCTCAGTGGTGCCGCCACCTGCCTTGCAAGCACAAGGTCCCAAGTTCAATCCCTGGTACCAAAAAAAAAAAAAAAAAAGCTGTTGAATGAGTAAACAAATGAATAGTGATCATTTTTATCTTGGTGGGATCAGAAGGAATTTAAGTTTTATACAGATGAATAAACAGCTTTCCCTAATTTAGTACATAGGGGGACATCTTTCTAGCTCTAGAACATCATGTTGGGGAACCTAGAATTGGGTAGACAGTCTTTTGTGAAATGATCTACTGTTTAATTTTTTTTCCTAGATAATCACATTTTTGCCTGGGGCAATGGTGGTAATGGCCGCCTGGCAATGACTCCCACGGAGAGACCACATGGCTCTGATATCTGTACCTCATGGCCTCGGCCTATTTTTGGATCTCTGCATCATGTCCCAGATCTGTCTTGCCGTGGCTGGCACACCATTCTCATTGTTGGTAAGGGGGTTCATATGTATGGGGTTGGGATAGCTTTGACAGGACTGACCCACACCTAAGCTACTGATGAACTCATGTTCACATTCTTGAACAGAAGTGTCCTGAAGAAAAGAGGTAATTTCTCCAGGTCTTATGATGTTCAGGGGTGCCATGCCTAGTGTTAGGAACAGAACATTTTTATTTCCCAGGCTTTGTCATTTGCCTTCTCTTGGTCTTGTGGCCAGTTTTTAATGTAACTGTGGACTCTGCCACCCCCATAGAATTTGTTACTTTGACTTATCATCAGTTAATTTCTTACCTGTGTTCATACTTGAAAAACATTTAGTACATCTTTTTAAAAGAAAATTTATTCATGAATGCTTTTTGCGTGAATAGTATTTTGAATTAAATTTTGAAAGTCTTGAAAGGGTTTGCAGATTCATTGTATCTTTGTTGCACATCAGAATACCTAGGGGGCTTTTACATATCCTACTCCTGACCTTATTCCTGACCATTTAAACCAGTCTCTGGGACGGGACCTAAGCAGTGTTACTGTGTAAAGCTTCCCAAATAGCATAGTTGGAGAATTGCCATTTTAGATAGAGTAGCTAGTAGTGTTTGGTTTGTAAGATTAATTTCTAAATAGTAATCATAAAGTTATCTGGACTTGGGAATATCTCCTATATTAATTCCCCTCACTTTCCTGTCTGTGTCTGTATACAATGTTTACATATTCGATATTTTTCCTCAGAGAAAGTATTGAATTCTAAGACCATCCGTTCTAATAGCAGTGGCCTCTCCATTGGAACTGGTATGTAGTAATATCTCAGGTACCAGTGGTTGCTGAATTGTGGATGTTTGGGTTATATTCCATGTAGTCTCTAATAATGGCTCTGATATCTGTACCTCATGGCCTCAAGGAAAATAGAAAATTTCTTTGGGGAATACAGTGATTAAGAGGGAAGATCCTATTTTGGTAAGTTTCACAGTAAATCATGGCTTACATTGTGGTCAGAAGGAGAATACATCTTTGCTTCCATGCATATGGAAGTAATTAAACAGCTTACCCCACACTGTAATGTAATTTATGTATTATTCCTTTCCTTACAATCTGAGGGGCCGTGGGTTCTCACTGCCCTTTACTTCCATGGTATTCCCAGGGGTATTCCAGTTTAAAGAAATCATCTTTCAGAATAGGTCCTCAAAAATAAAAGCCAGCTAAACTTTCAACATAGAAAAATCGCCCTAAGCTCTCTGGTAGTTTTCCCTTGACTGCTTTCTTCAAGATACTCTGTTATTTGGGACCATGCCAAGAAATTGAATGTGGTTCTTTCTAGTTTTCTACCTGCTAGAGTCCCTATAGATGCTGCCAGACTTACTGATTCTGATACGTTGTGGAACCAAAAAGATAAACACCCAGAGTAAAAGCACATTAATTCCCCAAAAATGAACAGTTAAAAATCTGATCTGTATCCTGAGTTTGATCCCTGGTACAAAAAAAATCTGATCTGTGATTGTTAGACGTTAATTTATACATATAGTTACCCCTGTTACATCTTTTATTGTTTCCTTAAGTAATCTAATCAGCATATTTATTTCTACACATTAATCCCTGTAATAAATGATTAAATATCTTTTTGCTAATCATGGTTGTTCTTTACAACTTTTTCTGCTAGAATAGTATTTGAAAGAAAAACATAATATTAAAAGCAAATGTCCATTGGACAGAAAATGTACAGTCAGGTAAAGGCAGGAATTTTTTTTCTTTTTTATTCATTAATTTTATCCATAGGGCATAGAACAGTATCTGGCAAATACTAAATACTCAGTAAATATTTGTTGATTGACTGTATTCTGCCCATCCATCGGACTGGTTTTTGTACAGGAGTCAAAATATCTCCACGTGTTTTGATGATGTGAAATACAGGAAGCAAGTTGCAGCAGACTTTGTGTCTTTTTATAAAGTTTACAAACAAGCCACTAATTGATGTATTGTTTAAGGGTGCACAAATACATAGTAGTTGCCAGGCATGGTGGTGCACACTTGTAATCCCAGCACTTGGGAGGCTGACGCAGGATTGCCATGTGTTTGAGACCACCCTGGGCAACAGAGTTTAAGACCAGCCTGAACTACATAGCAAGACCCTGTCTCATGGGCCAGGGATTTAGCTTAAGTGGTTCCGCTGCCTTCCTCACAAGTGCAAGCACCTGAGTTCAATCCCCAGTACCAAAAAAAAAAAAAGATCATGAAAAGACCCCTTCTCAAAAAACAAAACAAAATACAAACCCACAGACACATGGTAGAATCTTTTTAAGAAGAATTGATATATACAAAATTAATCATACTGGTTTCATCTGATTAGGAGGCTAGAGGAGGGAGTACAAGTTTAAATGGCTATATATGATCAGTGACTACCACATGGGTAATGCTGTTCTAGTTCTTCAGTGGCCACATTTATTGCTAAGCATCAAAATTTGCACTATGTTAAAAAATGGTCTAGGGCTAGGGATTTAGCTCAGTGTTTCTGCTACCTGCCTTTCAAGCACAAGATCCCAAGTTCAGTCTCTGTTACCCACCCCCCACAAAAAAAATTGGCCTTGCCCAGCACAGTGGCGCACACCAATAATCCTAGCCCTTGGGGAGGCTGAGGCAAGAGGATCTCTACAAGTTTGAGGCCAGCCGGGATACATAATTCAAGGACAGGCTGAACTACATAGTTTTAAAAAAAAAAAAAAAAAAAGGTCAGGGATTTAGCCATTGGTTCCGCTGCCTGCCTTGCAAGCACAAGGTCCCAAGTTCAATCCCTGTTACCAAAATAAAAACCGTGAAAATGGTCATTTGGCTACTTCTGTAGATCATATGTGACAGTCAGTCCTCAAGCTGATGTAGGGTACAACAGATGGTCCTTTCCATGTAATCTTACAATATGTCATGGAGTATTTTTAGGTTTGGCAAATTTACATATATATATATATATATAT